AAAAAGAGCCGTAACATTTGCAATGACATTTTTGCCATCACCTGTGGGTATGTCAGCGGCCTGATCCCGGAGACCTGGGAATATGCATGAGGAGCTCTCAGCTAGGACTCACACGGGCGACTCCATTTAATTAGAGACATTATAACACTGAATATGAGGCACATTATGCATTACCCTCTCTCTGTTAGCCCCGCTGCGAAGCGATGACAGAGACGCACGAGGTATGGCTGAAAGACTTGTAATTACACTCTTTTTCCCCCTCAAATTATGAATTACAGATCTGTCACTGTCATCATATGTGTAATATGAGGGGGGGAAACAGTGTCATTATTTAAGATGCCTGCAGTTATTTAAATCGGTCATTATTTACTGTCATTATATCAAATGAATCCCGGGTAATTACAGATTGTAATTATGACTCTTCGCCGATTAGTATTTACAGTGCTATTTTTTCTTCATAATTATAAATCGAAAAAGTAGCTGAGCATTAATACACACACATGCACAGCTATTTATATCACAAGACACAAGTGATCAATTCTCAAAGAGCCAAACGTAGTCGACATAACTAAAGATCTGCCACATTGCCGCCATGTCGCATCTCATTAAACCCTCTATTTTCCTTTTTATGTATCCTTCCAAGTCAGAAACTAGAGGAGCTAAGGCCATTTTGCTGGAAGAGCAAGTGATTGCAGTCAGCAGACCGCTACTAATGTTTGTATGTATTTTAGGAACAGAAAATGTATGGTGGGGCAAGCGTGCACGGCAAGCTCCCTGCTAATCTGAGTGTCTCTTGTTGGGAATCATACCGCAGGAATTCCTGCATGTTCAGAATATTTTTGAGGTGGGAGGCGCTTGTGACCCATGCAAAGGGAACCCCCGCTGCCTGGTCCATTCTAACCATGTGAATGGCCTGAATACAATGAACCCGGCTTTATCTTTTCTTCCCCGACCCTCCCCTCTTCCCATTTGCCCACTCTCTTTATATGCGACTCTGTGTGTGTGTGTGTGTGTGTGTGTGTTAGAGAGAAGGAAGAGTGTGTGAACGTGTGTGAATGTGTGCAGAGTGAAAAGAAGGCGGATGGCAGGCCCTTAAGGCTGAGGTTTTGCAGGACCAGGAAAGCCGTGGTACAGTCATATGAGAGTGTGTTTGAATGTTAAGGGAGAGTGAGAGAGCAGCACAGGTCACCTGACTCCCTCCGCAAGGAGAGGCCAGAGGTGCTCTAGAAATCATCCATGGACCAAATGTGGTGTAAAGCAAAAGCCAATCTGTTTCCACAGCTTGGCCCCATCCATCAGACCATGGCCAATAAAATGTAGTCAAAACACTTCTTAAAATTGGGCAAGAAGCTATACAGCATGAGCAATGACAGCCTGACTTATCCAAATGTTGAAAATATTCAAATTAAACCCTGATGAAAAACAGCATACATTGTGTTTTAGATTCTGTTATCCCCAATGGCCTTGTTATGGGTGACATGTCTACATTTCAAATGCAAAAATAACATATTGCTAATAACTAAGCTTAATTGCTTAGATAAACAGTTAGCCCTACCCCCAAACTCACACCATTGGTTGATCCAATGCTATTATCATGTCAGAAAATCACAGATATTACACACTAAACCTTTAAACTAGCTTTACCAGCCAGTTCTGTTCTCTGGACAGAGCCATCATCTAGACCTAACCAAACCAACAACTAACCAGCCTGACTGGTCTTTTCAGCAGAGGTGGTAGATCTCCATCTCAAAAAATGTAGCATCAAGTCATCTTTTTTGTAGCATGTAAATTAACGCTTGACATTGTGCTTGATGGATTGGAAGTGCCACTCTGCTAATTTGTAAAGCAGCAGAAAAATGGCTGACACTTTGGAGTTGTGTACGCACACTGCAAGGGGAACAGGTAGTGCCCTTTTTGAGTAATCGGATCATAACAGATTAGCCTACATCTCTCTGATAATGTCAGAAAGCGCCTTTAGTAAGTTAGAGAGAGTGGTGGAGATAGAGAGAGAGAGAGATGGCTGAAGAGATCGAGAGAGCAGGAGACAGGTATTGAGATGGAGCAGATGAGCCAATCAGAAGAGCTGGCTGACAAAGGCATGTTGGGAAGCTAACCTGATTTTAGCAGCAGCCAGGCATCTAGAGCGTCACATGCTGATCTCATGCACGGATGTGTGTGTGCGCGTACGAGGGGGTCATAAAAAATTCTCTCCCTGGTTAGCCGCGGGGCATCCTCCTCAGCCTCTGGCCTGCTCCAGTCACTGGCCTGCTCTCTAATTGCTGCATAGACTCCACCACACATGGCCAGATGAGATGACATTTTCTTCTCTGTCAGTGGCGGACCGGACCGCGCGTCCCCCCTCCCTGCAGTAGTTGCTAAGACGCTGTCATAACCCATTAGCAGTTGGCCAAAGTTCGCCCGTGGCATTTCCTCATGGCATCAGCGAAAAGGCGCATAAATCTGCCAGTGGAGCCTGCTGCTGGACTAATGAGGCTGTGAGCTTGTTTATGGACTAGCATCATTTTTATGATTATTTCCACCTTTTCAGTCTCGCCGCCATCATTCGTCTTTATTTGGCGCGGGTAGAGTGCGGAAGCTCGGCAACGGGCTGACATTTTGAAACGAAAGTGCCATATAGACACTGCCACATGCCTAAGCCGACACACCAGTGCTAAAATAGATATCCCTAGTCGAATAAGGTGAGCCAGTATTAAAGTGCACTGAAGATAAAAAAAAAAAAAAAAAAAAAAAAAAAGACAGCTATAAGCATGTTGAAATAGGTGTCCTGAACGTACATCTCTGTTACAGCCCTAGAAAAGAGTCAGGGAAGTGACACTTTTTTAGCCAATCAGAAATGCTTTCTGCTTGTGAGACGTTTTGCATGTTTGAGTTTCGAGGACAGAATGGATAAAATCTCTTACAACACAATGCCATATTTTTCGTTGCATGTAACTGAACAGTTACTGTGTTGACTAGCAATGGGATGACAATTTGGCAGAAACTTTCTGTATAGACACTGCCATGTGCTTACACTAACACTGCAATGCTAAAAAAGAGGTGAAATTAGTACCAGACACGACTAAGTTAAATCGGTATCAAATTGCGCCAAAAATGGAAATCCCAATAAAATTGACAGCTTTCGTTTCCCTCCCCCTCGTTTGCCTTCAAGGTGTAGGCCTTAAGAGGTTAGTTTTTAAGGAAAATATTGGGGAAGAGAGGTTAAATAGTTCAAAATGGCTAGAAGAGGCGGAAGACCAAAGCTCAAGAGAGCACACACACAACAGAGTTACCTCAGACATCACTCAAACGGCCCCTGCCCTTTTTCACTCTTTCGTCGTGCCCCCCTTCCCTCTTCCTCCGTCTGACCTGATATCCAGTGTTTGCTTCTGTTTTGCTAACTCGCATGGGACAAGCCCTGGGTTTATTATTTTAGGCTTTGCTGAACACGAACTAGTCTTTACACCGGATTTGAAGCATTTGCTTCTAATGAAAATGGTGTCTTAGATTACAAACCAGCGGTGCCACTGCCTCTCCAGATGGGAGCTGGGAAGTTCTATTTGCCTAAACACAGTCGGAAGACAAACTGCTCTCTGAGCCAGGGCTGTTTTTGGCATCAGTTAATGATGTAATCGAAACTCGCCTTTGACAGCTTTTAGTTTTGATTTTTTCTTGTGTCTGTGTGTGTGTTGGGGGAGGGCGATTCAGCTCTGGTCAGTTTCTTAGTAAGTGACAGACGGAGGGAAAGTGCCCTTGTGTAAAAGGCAAAGCCATTGTATCTACATAAGTCTTCACTTAAAAAGTCTCAGCCTTTTCTGGGGCTTCTCTCCTAGGTAGAGAGGGCTGGCGGAGTGTTTTATATGGAATGTAGAAAGCCTTCGCTCTCCTAATGGCGTATATAATTCAGGTGCCCGCAAGGCATGCTTTCAGGAATTCTTTTGCCTGAGGTAATGGGGAGCAAAGACTCTTTTAGACCCTTGATTATTCTATTGATGCATGGAGCTGGGAAAAAAATTATCTCCAACCGGATTACTGCAGACATTTCCATTAATTATCAATGATACAGGTGCCTTATGTCGCTGACTGAAAGCTGCAGCGAGAGAAAGAGTTAACCCACCATAATCTCTCTGTACGAATAGCGCTGGGGCTTTTGGAAGTGCTTTATATGTAATCAATAAGTTACTCTCTTCGTTCCTGTGCCTCCGCTATTGAAACGCTTGCAACGTGCCTGTTGTTTGCCTCGCTCGTGTTTCTTTTATGGTTTATTATTTGAATTGCGGGTTCATGATAACAATTATCAGAAGTCTTCTCGGTGGCGGGTTCGGGCTCTCATTGAGGGAGAATGCGTACGATAATTGGGGGATCCGAATAAAATCAGCGTACGCAAGCAAACTGGCAATGTGAGGCTGAAAAGGCGACGTAAGCCATCTCCTCTGCTCTGGTATGTCGAACTGCCCATTATAAAGCCTTATCGAGCACCCACAGGTTGCTGCAAGCACACATGCAGCATTGTTATTAAAATGCAGCTCTTTGAAAGGGCTGCCGTTTTGTGCAGCAGCCATATTCACCCCCCTCCTTCCTCCTTTTTTATAGTGTGTAACTCCCCCACCTGAGGTAAAAAGACACCGGGGCGAGCTTCAATCAATATTTCCCTGGGATAATGAAGACTAAATCTCTCTGTCATTCTCAATTCATTGGTGACTCACTGTGTCGGAAGGCAGGGGGGAAATGCGACCTTACAAGTCCATTGTACTCTCTCTCTCTCTCTCTTTCTGAGCGTTGTGTGGGGGATGAGAAAGGGGGGTTATTTATAAAAGTATTAAAAATGAATGCATTCAGACGTGACGCTTCAAAAAAGCACTATTGTTGCCAGCTTACCCTGTTGCCTAGTTTTTTTTGTTTTTTTTTTGTGGTGGTGGTGGGGGGGGGGGGGGGGGGGGGATGGATTCACTGCCTGCTTCTGTGTTTCTGTTACTGATCAGGACCTGTGTGTGTTTTGACAGGTGACGGGCTGGACAACAGTGTGGCATCACCCAGCACAGGAGATGACGACGACCCCGACAAGGAGAAGAAGAGGAATAAAAAGCGGGGTATCTTCCCTAAAGTGGCGACCAACATTATGAGGGCATGGCTTTTCCAGCACTTGACGGTGAGTTCAGTAAAGTGATCTTTCCTCTTGCTGCTTCTCTTTGAGTCTTTTACAGCCAATACTGAATGCTGCACTTCAAAGCCCTTGAAATGGTCAACGCACATGCTTTCATTCACTTTATCTTTCCTAGCCTTAACAACACATGCTCTAAGTTTTAGGCCGAGAAAAAAAAATAGCATCAAGCTATAGATAGCAAAGATAGAAGTTAGATGACAGAAGTCGTCAATTTCAATACTTTTTTACTGTTATTTATGGAGATTTTTAGTAGGTCTGCATACAGTGTGTGTCAGCGTATTATGCATATGACATGTATTGTTCAAAATGACGAAAAAGTATTTGTAGTATCAAATCACGTAGTGTAGCAATTAAATAGTTTTTGGAGCCACTGTACGTCTAAGTTACATGATCAAAACTGGGTTAGCTCGTTAGTTGAATGTGTTTTTTGGGCTGGTGGTTGGTTCTCTTACTGTGGGAGTCCACACCTGCCAATGAGAAGTGATAGAGCAGCACAGGCCATTGATGTGGTTGGCTCTTCCTCTTGCTTTGACGGATTTCACTTCCACTATTTCATTTACCACAAAGTAATCGGAGTGCTGTCAAGACACCACTTATCTCCATATATCTACCCTTCTCACAGGCTTAACACACCTCTGCCAGCCTCGCTCTCACACGCACATGCAGACTCTGCACAACTCATAATAATAATGTCTCTTAATTAAAGACAGTGAAATGTTCACGTAGGTGTATTTTCAATAAACATATTACTTAAGCCTTCACTTGTTTGTGTTACGCTTTATGACTGAAGTAGCTATTATGGCCAGCAGCGTGTATTTTTAGGTGTTGAAAGGAAGTGTGTTTCTAACCAAGCTGGAGTCAAAAGGGAACCCATTTGATCAGTGCCAAAAGCCCCCACATGCTCGCCCCCTGCCCCCCATTTCTTACATCTGTGGCACAGAAACTATGCCTGAGTACCCCAGAACTTCACCTGCCCCAAGCACACCCCCAACACACACATACACATACACACACTCAAACCCCCATCAACTACCACCTTTAGCGGCCCCAGGAGAAAGGTGTGTGAAAAGAAAGCCATTTGCCAGTTCACACAGGCACACACACACACACGTACACACAAACAACAGTGTGCAATATCCACAAGAGCATAGACTGATGGAAGTGTAGTTTCCTGTTTGTCTTGGCTGACTATTATGGTGGACAGTATTGTGTCATTGAGAGCTCGTTCTGTCTAAATTGTTCGTGTTTAACTATACTTCAGGGACAAAACTCTCCTGGAAGTTTGCTAAATCTGACAAACCCCCTATTTTAGGACATCTTCAAGGTGAAAATGATTCATAAATAGTTTATTATTATTATAAATATGCATTATGTTTTAAAAGGTACAGTTAGAGTTTAGATTAGGCTTTGAATACCACTCTTACTATTGCTCTACAAACCCCTACTCTAAGTAGTAAACTTTGCTGCGTAACATGTCCTCGGTTGTTCGTGCTCTGTGTACCTTAAATGATGGGATTTGTTAAGGAACGATGTGCTATTACATTGAAGAAATCATACCTTACAATTTTGCACCCTAGCAAGCACTTAGCAGTGCTCTAGCAACTACTTAGAACACTTAGCAAACAACCACATAACATCAAACAAGCAAACACCCCTAACAGCCTTGCATTGTGATTGTGGGACACTTTTGAATGAAATGACAGCGATTGCTAGTAGACGTTTATACTTGACTTTAGTATCCAATCAACCTCCAATTAATTGAAAATGACTGTAAACACTCCTTAGAGAGAGCGATAGAGAGAGAGAGAGAGCACAAAACAGTGCTTGAGATGAAAAAATGTAAAGAAACCAATGTCACCCCGCACCCCACAAAGAGTGAGGGAAAAAGGAATAGATAAGACCGATAGAAAGAGGGAGAAAGGAAGTTGACTTTAATACAGAGACAATGAGTGTTGCTTTGATCAGATCGAAACATAAATGGAAACACTTTCAGGCTCTGCCCCAAATAGGTTTGTACAGCGCTCATTACGGCAAACTTGAGAAATTAGACTTGTTTCACTCCCTGCTTTGAGTGCCTTACTCTGACAACTCAGCATTTGAATGGGGAATAAAACAACACGCAGCACGTGAGGAACGGATGACTGATCTTACGGACAATGCAATCGTCTCGCCTTCCGTTTCCAACCGTCTTTTACTCAAAGGATGTCGGAAAGTCTCAACTGGGGCCACAAAGATGTAGGAGAAAGTGTGAGAGCTCAGGATTGATGTAAAGAGGTAGTTGCCGAACGTCTCTTTTCCTCTGAATCAATGTGTGAAGGAACAGTCCTCATGTCTGGCCCCTGGTGATAAAGATAGCGGCAATTAGCGAGCGGCACAAACAACACACGCAGATGATAGCCTTCTGTCTCAGAGAAATATATGTGTTGCACAGTTCACGGACCAACAGCAGTAGGAATGCGCTCTTTGCATGTCACATGAATCAAACGGTAAAGCCATTGTGCCGAGGAGGAAGTGTGAAGTGGGTGGCAGTACAAGATAATTCTGATGAGCCATTCGGTGGAAGAGGAGGAGAGGAAAACAATAAGCGGAACGGAGACTGATACAGAGGAGACGGCGAAGGCTTATGGGGTAGCTACACCCTAAAGCTGCTCTTTAATCAGTTGTTTTTAGTTCCCAGTTATTAGCTGGCTTCCAGGGCGAGTGGAAGAGGGAGTTTTGCTGGTCTGAGAATAGCATGGAGAAAGAGGGAGAGATGCTAGCTAATTACTCACGAGTGTTTTAGCATGCTGTAAAGCTGGCGTGAACACATTCCAATAAACTTTGTGGTGAAATAAAAAAAACAAAAAACAAAAGGCCCTAAACCTCTGTTATTTTTCCTGCTTTAACTGTTGTTGTTTTTTTTTTTTGTTTTTTTTTTTATCTGAACAAAGATAGTGAGACTGTGCCAGGCATCCTGGAGAGGAATGCTGGGTGCACTGAGCAGCTTTCCTGTTCCCGTGGCTGTGAAATTGGACTCTTTCCCCCCCTCCTTCCCATTCCTTGTTCCCTCCTGATTTTCACCCTCTATCTCACAAACAGTATTTTCTTGTTTAATTTAACAAGAAAAGAGTAATAAATGGAAGCCATTGCTCCAAATCCCGCTGTGCTTATGTTTTTGCACTCAGATCCCCAGTGAAAGGGCAATTTGCTAAATTATGTGATAGAGTAATTAGATGAAAGCCAGGCTTCAGATTGTTGCTATGCAGCCACAATAAGGACTGATCCTGGAACAGCTGAATATTAGGCTCGCTCTGGGCTTCGTCCTGTTTGTACACTGAACCAGAGAGCGAGAGGAAGCCTCCATAACAGCTCGTAAAAAGCAAACCACAGCACAATGTGCAATCGCGCCCCCCCATTTTACGTGGTGTTTGTGTTCAAAATGAGACTGGAAGGCATAATCGCTTTTAATGCAATTAGGCTCCAATTTAGCACCCTCTTCACACACATGTAACAATTCTGGTGGAGGCAACATTCTTGTTTTTTCTCTTACTCGCTGGGAGCACATTTTGCCAAACCTCAACTGTGCTGCATCTTGAGCAGAACCAGGTGTGAAAAACGCTATAACTCATTTCTGCACTCAATGGACTGAATCGTGCAGAGGGCCCTGAGCTGGTTGGACCAGCAGGAGGGGGAACGGGCTGTGTCCTCTTCGGGGAGTTGGGTTGAATTTGTTGCCCCATAGTTGGAGGCTGGAGTCAGGGGGAGAGAGTTGGTTTGAATTGGCCTGCTGATGATTTCCTGGGCAAAATTACAGATGTTCAGCATATGACCTCCTCAAAAAGTAGTGCATGGAAACCACAGAGGGGTTTTCAAAAGGCTGGGGTTCTCGGTTTTACTTTAAAAAAAAAAAAACACTGAAAGGGAGTCATACATTTGGCACAAAGCAGTGAATTTTCCTACAAGCCCAATTTAATTCACTAAGTCAAGATAAGATTTGCACTAACATGTCTCACTTATTAATCAAAATCTATGAACTTGTGCAGTGTAGAAGAATATATGTGGTGGAAGTGCTGTGCATAGCAAAATAGGAGCGTTAAAATGTACTTGTTATGACCAACAGCTAGATCCACAGTTTTTAAAAAGAATGAAAAAACTGCCATTGTATTCATAGTTCTTAGCATTAGATACCATCCTGAAAGTTGTCGGTGAAATGGTTGAGATGGTGCTGTGTTGACATTGTTCAAACAGCAAGACCCGCCACTCGTATCGCCATAGCAACTGGGTGCCCTGACAGATCTTATCACAAGGGTTTGGACCTGATGATATGTTGCCTTGACCACCTTTAGTTGTCAAGCTAGCCTGTTATTAGCTCAATGAAAACTTTTGAGAAACTTAAATTGCACATTGCAAACACAAAAATAAAATTGTAATTTATCAAACATGCAATTTTTTCTAGACAATATATAATTTCTAAAATGTACATTTTTGCGATGTGTCTTTATAAAATATTTTACTATGGGAATGAATTCTTTGATATAGGATATGTAAGGTAACAAACATGTGTATTATCATCAAGAAATATAAACACCCCCAGAATTGTCTGTCTACATAACATCACAGGCACCATTTTGTATCGCATAAAAAACGTGGGCACCATTATTGCAAGTGAGGCTCTGGCTGGCTCCTCTTTGTCAAGAAAAGTAACATCCTTGTAAACAAACTTTAGGCATGGTAACATTTAGCCAAGAGCTCACTCTGAATAGCCTTGTCAAAAAAGCCACCACATCCATTAGAGGTCAGAGGTCAACCAGGCCTTAGATGCCATTAGTCCGTGGTTATTTATTGCCATGAGATGTCAGCGCACTGGTCACCCATGGCAACCCCAGTGTGGCACTCCGCATCTGGCCTGGTGGGGAGCCCTACTCTCAAGTGTTCTCTCACCTTTACCACACAAGACCAAACCTCAAAAGAGTCATGCACATACACAAATTAAATGACCTGGAGCT